TTATCAAAACTGCAGCAGAGTTAGCTGGTCTGCTCACCCTGGTCACCGTGGGCACCTTTCTGTGTCTTTTCTCTTTATCTATTCTATATTGAATGGCCCATTTTTTTAAGCCACCTCCAATGACACTTTGGATCTAATGCCTAAATGTTACTTCATCCGCTGGGAGAATTCAGAGCCAGAAAGTCTGCTATTCTGGTCTGTTAAATTTATCACTCGATACATTAATCCTGGAGTCATTTGTTTGAGGAAACTTATGAAAAGTAAGAATGAGGTCAGATAGTGCCACCTGCTGGAATTATACTTGAAAGGGGAAAAAAATATCAAGAACTGTCCATGGTTTTTTTGCATTCATTGTTTTAAGTCATTCAGAGGAGGTCATGATCCAGATTTACTTAACAACAATTTCTGCCATTTACATTCTTTCTTGATTCCAATACGCCACCTCGTGCATTTCTGTTTTAACATTTCTCTGTTTTCCCTATAATGGTTCAATATCTAAAATTACCATAAAAACTAGTTGTATTTCATTTTGTTATTTCTCTTAGAATCTCTTAGAAATTAAATTATAGAATGTTGCAATATGAAAGGACCTTAGCAGTTTCGTATTTTGGACACAGAAACTCTTGGGATACCATAGATAGAAACCTCACTTTAGGGCCGGCCGGTGGCGCACTGGAGAGTGCGCCGCTTGGGAGCATGGCGGCGCTCCCGCCGAGGGTTCAGATCCCACATGCAGGCCGGTTCCCGCTCACTGGCTGAGCGCGGTGCGGGCGCAACACCGAGGGTTGCGATCCCGTTGCCGGTCCCCGGTACGGGCGCAACACCGAGGGTTGCGATCCCGTTGCCGGTCCCCGGTACGGGCGCAACACCGAGGGTTGCGATCCCGTTGCCGGTCCCCGGTACGGGCGCAACACCGAGGGTTGCGATCCCGTTGCCGGTCCCCGGTACGGGCGCAACACCGAGGGTTGCGATCCCGTTGCCGGTCCCCGGTACGGGCGCAACACCGAGGGTTGCGATCCCATTACCAGCCAGTAAAAAAAGAAAAAAAAAAAAAAGGAAACCTCACTTTAGATCCCAGGAAACTGAGGGCCAAAAAAGCGAAAAGGCAAAGCTGAGACCAGAACTCAGTTATACTCCTTTCCACAGTATGCGCTGTATTAGTTAAGATGCTTGCAGCTGCCATAAAAATGGCTTCAACAATAACGGATATCTCACATCAGAATTCCTGAGATAGTGGCTCAGGAATAATTTAGGAGTTGAACAATGTCACCCAGGACCCAGGCTCGTCCCATTGCCCTCTCTGTGCTCCGTATGTCCGATGTTTGTAAGACAGCTCCAGCAACATTAGGAACCACAGCCTCCCACCCAATATCAAGGGGCCCAAAAGGAGCTGTCTTTTCCTATGCGCTTATGAGCTAAGAAACCTTTCCAAAAAGGCCACCAAAGGATTCCATTTATGTCTCATTGGCCAGGAGGGAATATGTCCAATCCTAAGTGGCTAATTGCAAGGAGCATGGAATTGCCAGTTTGTCTTAGTTAAACCCAGATTCAGCCTCTGGGCCTGGGGTAGGACTGTCCTTATCTGAAGCATGTGACTCTGGAAGCACATAGATCCCTGGGCAAAATCAGGTTATCAAAACACATAGATTCCTGGGCAAATCAGGCCATCTCACAAGGGAAAAGGTGGAAGTGACTATTTGCTGGGAGAAAATTCTCCATAGGTCTCTTCTTATCTCTCCTCGTCTTCTGAGCAAGAGGCATTGACAGCTTTGTTTGTACCTTTTAAAGGATTTGTGTATAACTAACAGCCTTGGAAGATGGAAATGGTGTCTTCCTCTGGGGCAGAGGGTAGATTTGTTTTCTGACCAGGAAAATAAGATAATGTCTCTCTCCAGGGCAAAAATTGAGCAGGTTTGCTTGGAGCTCTTTTGAAAGGTTGGAGTTTTCTATGTTCAGGGTTTCTCAGCTGTGAAGCAAACTTACTGAGGGTGCAGTGTCTGCCTGGGCTGTCCTATCATGCCATGGGACTTGGGGGAAGGGGAAAAGGGAAACGTGTGAACGTGAAGCGCATGCTGCCTGCTACATTGTGAATAAAAAAGTCCCATGTCTCCAAACCATGAGTCTCATGTCTTCTGCCAGCAGCATGCAGCTGTGGCCAGCTAACTTGTTAGCTTGGAAGTGGGGTAAAATCTCAGACTCCTCCCAGTTCTTGACACTGGAGAAACGGCAACCATTCATGTTTGCTACAGTGTTCTTTCCAGTGAGCCATGCTATATACACCCAGTTCCCAGATACTTGTTTCTGGAAATAAGAATATTGTCAGTGTACAAGAAATTCCTTTTCCACAGGCAGATATAGGGCAACCCTTCAGTCTCCCCTGAAGACGCACAGTGAGGAAGGACATTGTCGCTGGCTCTGATGTCTTTGGTGCTGCCTGCCTTTCATTTGCTCACTGCCTCTCTCTGTAATTATCTCTTTTAAAATGTCAGCTGCTCTCACCCAGAAGACCAAGAGCAATCAGCCACAAACTGAGCCTTAGAAGCTTTTAAAACACGCTGGCTGTCTGACTGGGAGATGAGATTTCTCAAAGGCATCCCTTAGCAACATCAGGGGAGCTGACATTGAGTGATGGAGAAAAAGGAGCCCTTTCCTTCACTCTCACGTGGGCTTTGCAGCCCCTTCCTTAGGAAGCAACAGAAGGGAAGTGGGGTGTGCTCGTCTTGTAAATATTTCTTCAGCAGAGCCTGGATGGAGGCTCTTAGGGGAAGAAGTTGCTCTTGGAGACCCTGAGCCTTGTGTCCTTCTTACTGCACCCAGTTGGGGTTGAGAGGCTCTGGGCTACAGCAGGATCCTGGCAAATTTCCTTCCTCTCTAGAATGGAGTATTGATGTTAAGAAGATTGTGGTCCAGAGGAAGAAATAGCAGATCTATTGTGACAAGCAGAGAGAAAAAGGTGTATATATTCTAGTGACTGCTGGTACTTGGAGTTTCTCCAAATAGCGACAATTCAAAGACCTGGAGGAGAACTTTTCATAGCAGAAGGAGAGTAGTAGAGAAAATTAGAGCAGCACTTATCCCTTCAAGTCAAACCTTAGGGTTATATTCAACTTATCCCTAAATTCTATTTCCCTGATGGCAGTTGATGCCTTTAAAATGAAACAGTCTTTCCTACTTAGCCAGGGAACCAGTGTTCTCTTGCTATTCTGACAACTTACATTTAAAAATGCATCTGCAAAAATATAGTACTACCACAACAGAACAGATTTCATCTGGAACCAAGGCTACTTTCCCTCCATCAACTAGTGAGAACTGCAGGGGAAGATCTTTCAATCCGTGGATCATATTATCACCCACCTGCATTCTGATCATATTTTCATAGAAACCTCGATGGATGTGACTGGCCTGCAAGTTAAAATCAGTCACAATGACCCCTGGAGGCAGGGGCCCCTAATTTAGATGAGATATTTTACTGGAGTGTGTGTGGAATCACCACAGATGTTAAAATTAAAGTTCCCTTTCTAATGACATGAAGGATGAAAATTCCTTGGTACAATTAGGTTGATTAAATTGAGTCTGCATCTAATATCTCTGTAGCTCAATAAAGTTAATGCAGCTTTCAGAGGGGCTAGACACAGAGGCAAGGAACAGTCCAGGTCCTGAGAAAAATCTGGCCCACTGTGGTTTTTAAATTAGAGGTTTGATTGCTTGTGACGCTGCCTGAAAATGGTACCAGCCCAAATAAGCTGAATTTTCCATTAGTTCAGGAAAAAAAAGTGACAGATATTTAATTAAACTGCTTAGAGATTAGGCAGAAGGCTTATTGATGGATAGAGGGGCTGAATATCTTTATAAGCAAAGTTAGGAAATTCACTGGTGTGCCACATCTTTAATTCTGAAAAGAACTCACCAAGCCTAAGGGAGCTACAGATGTGTGTGCTGCTGCAGCATTAAGCAGCCTGTCCTGCCAATTGCAGGAAAAATATACATTTAAAAAATGTGTTTCTAAAACACTAGTTGGGCACTGAGGAACTTAACATAAAACTTAAAATGTGAAATTAAAAAGTTACCTATAACTAAAGTTAACAGAGCAACCACCCAATCCATTTGCCAATTGTTGAGAGGTGATTTATTGCCAAAGGAGGCGGATTTGGAGGAGATCTCAGAAAAAAGAAAGTGCTCAATGCTGGAGACTAGGTTATTAGGAGGCTCCAGCATACCAGATGGGGAATGACCAAGGTATATAACACGAGATGCAAAAAAGGGTTTATTCTGCAGGAACATTCTGCTACCTTTTAGTCAGTCACAATACACAGGTCTCCTTCATTGCCCCAACAATTCATAGCTTCCTAACTTTCAATAGGAACTATAAACACTAATGAAATAAAGTTTTGTAAATTCCCCCAAAGCAGTAGCTCTCAACTCTAGCTACATATTAACATTTCCTGGGAGTTTTTGAAAATACCAGCACCTACTCCAGACCAACTAGGTGAGAACCTTTGGACACAGGTATTTTGAATAGCTCTCCAGATGACTGAAAATCACTGCCCTAGGAGCTATTGAAGAGGTAAGATGTATGTGGAATCAAAGACCTCAGGCTCTGAAATCTGACAAACCTGGGTTCAGATCCTGACTCCACTAATTCAATAAGTCTCGCACATTCATCATGAGCTAACTTCTCCAGGCCTCGGTTTCCTTATCTGGAAAGAGTCAATGACGGTAACTTCTTGGAAGGCTTCTAAAGATGAAATAAGAAAATTAATGTGTACTTGGCAGAAATGTCCCCAACACAAATTTATTTTCCTCCCCTTGGTTGTTAGTGGTTAATAAAGGATTGATGTTTTATGCTTCCTCAAATTATTTTGCCATGGATCTTTGTAGTAAGTGACAGGCTTAGATTATCCCTTTCTTTCTACATTTTTTTTCTTTTGTCTAGAATTCACCAGTATTTAATATCTAGGAGAAAAATACTCATGTGTTTTTCATGCTTTCTGCTCTTCCAGCTGCCACAGAAGTGTCCTTTTCATTTGATGTTGGAAATGGGCCAGTGGAGATTGTAGTGAGGTCACCCTCCCCTCTCAACGATGACCAGTGGCACCGGGTCACTGCAGAGAGGAATGTCAAGCAGGCCAGTCTGCAAGTGGATCGGCTGCCCCAGCAGATCCGCAAGGCCCCGACAGAAGGTCACACCCGCCTGGAACTCTACAGCCAACTGTTTGTTGGTGAGTAAAGAAAAGAAATCATGACTTCTTCTGCTGGTTTTAAGAACTTTCACAATGAAAAACAAACAAACAAAAAATACCCCAGCCTACTGAGGGTTTTGATAGAGATCTTTTCAAAAGTAAGTGTCTAAGCCTCTTGTAGTCTCCTCCAAGACAGGATGGAACGAGGAAGAGGATTCAGGAGGCAGATCTGGTTGTACTTCCCACGCTAGAGCTCAGTCCTCAGCTATAAAATCAGAGTGTAGACTGGGACAGCTCTTAAGTCTCTTGGATGTCTACAATTTTAGGTTTATAATTTTGAAACTATATAAAATTATTTGATCATTTAGGGCACATGTAACTCAGGGAGGGAGGGAGGGTTTCTTTAAGTTCAGATTTGCTTGAATCAATAAAAAGAAATCCATTCCTTTCTCTACCCACCTCAGTGTTCTAGGCAGAGAAAGATTTAGACTTTTCCTGACATCGTATCCCTCTGCATGGGAAGGAGATCAGCACTGAGCAGAAATTTAAACAGAGCAAAAAGTTAAACAACGTTTGCAAGAAGTAGTCAAACAGTGTAGTCTTCTCCACCAGTATTTTTACTATTGATGAACCTAAAATTACTTCAAATCAATACCTGTTTCCATGGCTACTTGAATTTTAAATTTTGTTTTCCAGGATATTGATGTTTTAGGAAAATAGTGACTTTCCCTTTGATGAATGAAAAGAAAGTCAGTTTGAAGGATTTTGTGGATGTATACCATCTTGGACCCCCTGTCTGGGCTTCTTGGGGTTATTTGGTCAATTCAGTCAACCGAGGCAGTCTCAGACCAAGCAAATCCAGATGTGACCTGGTTGCTGTTCACATTCATAACACCTGCCACCTGGGCTGCATCCTGTGGTGGAGCCTTGCCAAGGGTCAGTTAATTTTAACAAAAGCCAGAGTCCCCACTGTGTCTTTCATAGTTGTTTTGGGATGTTTGAAGAACATTGGAAAGTCATCAAATGAAAGGTAGAATTAGGTGGTCACTCCTTTCATGTGATGTGGGCAAACTACAAAACAAAGGTGTCAATCCATGAGCTTTGAAAGTGAGACTGACTTGTTAACACACCACATCAGCCAACGGCCATGAAAGAGACATAGATTTTGAAATAAAATACTCACTCCCCAATCCCAACTGGAACCTAGACTTTTCCAAATCCTTCCCTCAAGTTATAGATCACAATATTACACATTAGTTCTGTGTTAGTTAAATATCGAATCCACTGATTCTTGCTGAACGTGGTGTCCACTTTTCACATTATCAATGTGTCTTGCTCAAATTACCTAGGAAAAGTTTCTTCATAAATTCTATTAATCCCAAACATGCTGGGGAGATTCCACTTGGTTTTCATCATAACAGGAGACCCCACTTGACTCAATGTCTGATTTTTCTGACCTTGCCCCTGGATGTAGAGGTTCAACTTTAGTTTTATCCCATTCTGTCTACTGGGTATAGTTCTCTCCAAGAATTCAGGAGACCTAGGAAGTTTGTAAAATGAAAAGGGATGGGGGAGTATTTATTATGGTTTTGGAAAGAATGTTGATTCATTTAAAGATGACCTGAGAATAACTTACAAAAAGAGAAGAGCAGAAGGCTGAGGTCAAGATTGTACAGAACAAGGAAATTTAAGGGGCAGGTGGAAAAAGAACACCTCAGGAAAAAGAATGAAGAGGAATACAGAGAGTAAATGAAGGGAAATTAAAAAGTGTAATGTCACAGGAGGAGAAGGTTTTATGAAGAAAGAAAGGGCAAACAATGTCAAGTTGCCATGACCAAAATAAGCCTAGAAAAATGTTCTTTGAATTCAGCAATCACAGTAGTGAGATTGGTGACCTTGGAAAGAGAAGTTTCAGAACAGTGGGCCAATGGGATGAGTCAGCAACTTCTTTGTACTCAATAACAAAGGGTAAGCCTCAAGCCCCTGTTTCTAATTTCCTGTTGTCTTAGAGACAGGCATGATGCACCTCCCAGACACAAGCTATTTGAGCCAATCTGAGAAATATTGTTCTACCAGAGAAGTCTACCCCAGGGGAAGCAGGGAGGGGGGTTATTTCCAGATGAAAACAAGTTCAACAGCTATGAAATTCTGGAGCCAGTTATCCCAACACAATTCAATAAGGATTCAGGCAACTAGGGTGTCGGTCTGGGTTCAACTCTAATAGAAGGATTTTCTTGACCAAGTGCTACCACTTTCCCTCTTTGGGTCTCTTTTCTCATCTGTCTGGGAAAGAAGTTGGATTCGTTGTTCCACAAACTTCCTTCTAACTTTAGACATTTACAGTTAAATGCTTAGCAATGGTTGCACAAGATCTGGGTTGCCAATGGTCCGTCCTTCCACAGTATTGTGTGGGTAACAATTTCGGTTTTGAATCCCACCTATCCCATTTGCCAACTGAGAGATCACTGATGATATACTTAACATTTAATTGTTAAATAGAAATACAGTTCCTACATGTCAAGATTACATGAGATATTCCATGCTAACTACACAGCAGAGTGCCTGGCATAGAGTCAATACTCACTATTTGTGAGTTATTTTTCTTTATTATCCTTTACCTGTCACAGTGGCCACAGAGCAGCAAACAAGGGCCCAGGGATTTTCTCATAGTCAGCCAAGAAAGCAGGTAAGAGTCCATGTGAACATATCATATCAGCATCATTGTCAACAGCTGAGACACGTGGCTGTTATCCAAGATCTCCATCAGCGTTCTAGAGAAGAAAGGGCTTTGACACAACTTAAAACTGAAACAGACTAAAAGTAGTTTTTGGCTTTGTGCACAGAGTGGACTCCACAGAGGACCAGCCTCCCCCCGCTGCTTGTGTTATCAAGGCCAGGTTCACATCTCCTTTGTCAGAGTAACTGAAAAAAACAGAGAACACACAGTTCTTCTCACTCTACATCTAAAATATAATTAGAAGCTGTCATCCAAAAAGGGCTATCACAGGTCTTTTGGAAGTAATAAGAATCCAGCTATGATTCTGGTTCAGTAAAAAAGCAACAAATAAATTTAAAACTTGAACATGACACAGAAAGAAAATAGCAGTTGCTGGTATTTGTCTGAAAAGCACAGGAAACATTTTCCCATTTTTGATCCAAAATGAGCGGCTCACATATGATGAGCTCCCTGGATGGCCCAGCAGAGGCACTTAAACCACATGGTGACATGTAGCCTCAGCCAGCCCAGGTGCTCATACCTCAGTCCTCTGTGGCATCCACAGGCCAGGTTTTTCTTAGGGGGTGGAGAACGGCAAATATGCTCTCAGTCATTATCTAGGCATGAACAACACCAGGCAGGACTGAGCCAAAGCCCTCTTTGGCAAGAGATATTCCAAAGAGCTTGGAGTCCTGGCAGCTGAAGCAGCAGTGGCAGGACTATGCGGAAGCAAGGTATCTGTTGGGTCCCCACCAGGGAGCCTGGCTGCCAGCCTAGGGCATGGTTGGAGAGCTGGTGAGCATAAGCCATAGAAGGGAGCCAAGCAGGCTACTCAGGGCAGGGGGCTGGTACAAGGGTTAGCTTGCAGCAGCTAGACACAGGCCAGAGCATGTAACTGTTCTTGGCGATCATTTAAGGAGGAAGTCAGACTTCGGGCAATCTGGAGGCTGCTTCAGAAAGCTTCAGGAAAAGGTCAAGCTCTTAAGTGGTTCCTTGAGAGAGAAGGTTAGGTCATCTTAACTAATGACACAGGTCCAGGCTCAACTCACTTGGCTCTGATCTCTTCTGAATTCTCTATTAAAGAGGGCCATCGCTTTTGGACAAGATGTAGCCTAAAAGGAGCTGAAAAATCATTCCCAGTGCTTCGAGTTCTTTTGTGTTGGGTGAGAAGCCTAACTGGAGGCTCAACAGGAGAACTGCTGTCTTCAGGAGGACTCAGAAACTAATGGGGAACAAGGAAGCCTGCAGCCTCCTCTTCCTCTGACAGTTTGTCAATCAGGAGACCTTTCTCTTCTGGGTGGCAACCTAAGTTTGTGGAAGAGTTGAGGTTTATTATATGGACTTATGAGAGAATGAGGAATGCTATGGTCATTCTCTGAGCTAAGTTTGGCTGGCAACCCCATAGAAGATCTCAACTTCCCCCAACTTGATAATATGCTCTTCATACCCTCTGTATTCCAAGCTCACGGATGGATAATTCCAGTGCCATCTGAAATGCAATGTCACTGAGAGAGCAAAGAGAAGATCAGCATTGTGTGCAAGAGAGAAAAATGGAATTCCAATCAAGAAGTGCACTCAAATCTGTGTATGAATGACAAATGGTTATCTTTCATATCTAAAAAGTTTGCAGTAAAAAATATACCATCCAAAGTTTAGGAATTATAACAGAAAATGTGTGCTTGCCCCCATTTCCTACAAACCTGACTCAACAACAACAGCATGAACGGTGGTCAAGACGTCCAGGAGATCCTGCAAGGCCAAGTGTTTCACATGCTTTTCCCAACTAAGCCACATGAGAACCCTACAAAGTAGATGTTCTTGCTAATTCCTGCTTTATTTTCATAGTAAAATAAATGAAGCTAAAGACTAGTCGAGGTCATGCACTCAAGGTCATGCACCTGGTAAGAGGAAGAGATGGGATTTGATCCCAGACAATCTGAGTCCAGAGACTCAGCACTTAACCATTCATCTTGTCAAAGCAAAAACGCACTGGACAAGGCTGAACAGGCAAGGAAGACTTCATTCAAGCCTCTTGCAATAGGGTAGAGAGGCCAGAACTCAGTCTGAACTCAACTTCACCTCACATAAGAGCAGAAGAATCATTTCGGTTTGTTTTTGATCTTTTGTTGTGGTAAAATACACAATGGGAAAGTATATGAGAGCCGATAGGAGGAATTAAGCTGTGCTTGCTGATTGGCTTTGCCCAAAGTGGGTGGAGGGGATATCTTCTTTGATGTTTACATTTCAAGGAGATGGCTCCCAGGTCCTTCAGGAGGACATTCCTGGGTTTTTTAATTGGCAAAAGGCTTTTTAAAAGATTTAC